CTGCAGCGCCACCTCCCAGCTCGCGTCCTGCGCCCCGGCCTCCGAGCGCGTGGCTGCGGCCGCCGGCGCCCGGCGGACGTGGTCCTGCGCGGGGTCGCGAAAGTGTGAAGTTAAGCAAGTTTTGCTCACCCCAGGGCTCGACTGGTGCGAGGAGTCCTGCGCTCACTCCCTTACCCGGAAAGAGGACTCTCTTCCCTAAGGACTCTTCCCGAGGTCCGGGGACCCTGGAGCCCCGGGGCCGGAGTTGTGAGTGGGAAGCAGATGACGAGGCAGCAGTCAGGTTCAGAGCATCCGTGGGGGCAGCTTGGTAGCCCTCAAGTCTGATAACTGTTCCGCTCCCCAGCGAGCCCAGCTTGGCGGCGAAGGAGCTTCGGGTACTACTTCGTCCTCGACCCTAGATTGCATCCTGCATGATTAAACCGAAGTGTTTTTGAGGAGGAAGTAGGGAAGCGGATGTTTTTCTCTTCAGATACCCTATCTGTGGGAAGAGGAGTGAATTCCTGCAGGAAAGATTAGACTCTTTCCTTATAGCTAATTAAAACTAATTACTTGTAAATATATACGATTCTCCATGGCTTGGGTGCTCTTATATGCAAATGCTATGATTATTTCAGCCTTCAGGAAACCCACTCCATCACCACCACCCTTCAGTTAAATAAGTCTCCGGGGTTGCTCCAGTATTTCCTTTCTTTAGCTATGTCATCCATAGCTTTGAGGGCTAATGTTCTTAAAAGTGTATTCCCTGGTGCTGGTCTGCAAACTTTTGGGGGTTTTTTTGGTTTTTTTGTTGTTGTTGTTGTTTTTACTGGTCTGTAATAGGAGATGAGTTCAGATATTGAGAGTAAGATTTAAAACTCTTTATAGCAATTTGACATTGCCAAGACATGCAAGTACATTAGTAAGTTGTACTTTGCATATTTTATTTTGAAGGTAATTCAGTTTTTGTTGGGATTTACAAAAGTATTTGTCTTGCTCCTTTTAGGTCTCTGTTTTTTAAATGCCATAGACTGGATGACTTGTAAAGAACAGAAACGTGTTTCTGACAGTACTGGGACTGGGAAGTCTAAAGGCGGGATGTAGGCAGGTTAGGCTTCTATTAAGAGCCCGATTCCTGGCTCATATCCTCCTTTCTTTTCACTGTGTCTTCATACGGTGAAAGGAAGCAAGGGAGATCTCTGGTGTGATTTCATAAAGGCACTAACCACATTTCATGAGGGCACCATCCACTTGACATAATCACCTTCCAGATACTGGTACGTGACTTTGGGGCTTAGGAATTGTGAGGGACATAAGCATTCAGCTCATTGTACTATTGCGCCATGATGGATAAAAAATAAAAAATAAAAGCACTTCTCCAGAATAGTTTGAGTAGCAGTGAATCCTGTGTAACACTTTCATTTATTATCTTGATCTTTAGCCTCTCACAGAACTATTTTCTGTTCTCAACTACCTTTACCTGAAGAATCATAGTAGCTAATATTTATTGAACAATTACTTCTTGCTTGGCACCGATCTAAATTCTTTTTCTGCATTTTTAAAATTCTCTCTCCACAACAACCCTGCAAGGTAGGTACTATTATTATCATGTTAAACAGGCATCTGAGAAGCAGAACTCCGGATATCCACCCCCTCCAAACCTGTTCCTCCTCAAATTGTTCCACCCAGTTTCGCAATCTAAAAATGTAGAGATCATCCGTGTTTGGTCTCTTTTCATTCATCCTTGCATCCAATTAACTAGCAAGTCATGGTTTTTCCACTTCCAAAATATACCCCAGTTTGTTCCTTTCGCTCGCTCTCCATTGTGATGACCTTGATCCAGGCAACGCTCCTCTCTCAGCCGGGTAATTCAGAAGCCTTCTGGTTCTTCTCCTTGTTTCTTCCCTGCCCTCCCTGAAACACACAATCGAAACAACAGCAGAATGATCTAAACACATAACCAGATCTTGTCCTGCGTTTGCTGAAAACTCTTCAATAGGTTTTCATTGCACTTTAAATACGACCTATAATCCTTACCATAGCCTGCAGTGTTCTACATAATATTGTTGCAGCCTCATTTGTTTATACCATGCTCCCACAGACCGTAGGTAAGTGTATTGTAGTCACACTGGATGAATCCTTTCACTTTCTTGAGTGAATCTCGTTTATGAAATTTGCTAGTCTTTCTTCCCGAAATGCTGTTTTTTCAGACTTACATAGCAGGTGCTTTGAGATCATGCAGGTGTAGGGCTTTATATCACCTCCTCAGAATGATCTGACATGACCATGTCATCTAATCAGTTCCAGTGAATTGAACATTTCTATTATGTTGCATCCCTGTTTTATATTCTTTAAAATGCTTTTTACTATCTGAATGATCGTGTTTACCACTTATTTCCTTCCAATCTCCTGCTAGAATAAAGTATCTTAAGACATTTGCCTTCACTTTTTACAGTTTCATTTGTAGTAGCGCAAACAGTTTGGCACATAGTACATACTTAGTAAATAGTGGCTGAATGAATGACGAGGTCATTTACAACAAGTGTTCTTTACTATTTGCTGGTGGTTCTTCTTGAATCCTGTTTGCTGCCTGTGAGGATCTGTTGTATCCCAGAAGTGCAGATAGGCTACGTTGTTTCCTGTGCGGAAGCTATCAAAAATGGCTCCATGCAGTGGCACACATTTAAACTAAATACCAGCGTAAGGTTTCAGCAATCAATTTTAAAACAAAGGTACTGGATAAAAAAGAGATGCTTACCTCTCTGAGCTTCCCTAAATTGCAATAACAGCCCTTTGGGCAACTTTTGACCAGTGACTACTTAGCTATTCTACCATTCCTTTACTTGCTAAAGTTAAATGTAACCTGTTGGCAATTTTCTTTCATGATTGTGTTTTTTGTGTAATCCCTGATGCATTCACCAGAATCTTTTGTTTGTTTGGTTGTTTTTTTCTTTTTTTTTGATCTTTTGGAGACTAGGTCTCACTAAGCAGTTCAGGCTGTCCTTGAGCTCACTTTGTAGCCCAGGCCGGTCTCGAACTCTCAATGATCCTCCTACCTCAGCCTCCCGAGTGCTGGGATTACAGGCGTGCGCCACTACGCCCAGCCAGAATCTTAAATAATACTATTCTAAAAAGTGAAACTGATAGGTATATTGCCTAGTATCCAAGCAGTGACTAGTAGAATGGAGCCAATCTTAATGACCTTTAACTTGTCATCATTTTTGGTCTCTGTGTATACCTCGGTCTTAGGAACTATCTGCAACAACCTCGACATAACTCAACTGACTAGGGACATAATTCAATTCAAACATTATTTATATCTACTCTATACCTGTCATTATGACTTCTAACTTTTTTGAAAAAAAGTAAATGCTATATAAAATTATTATGTGTGACTCAGAAATAAATTGCAGCTCATTTTGGCAACAGGAACACTTCTCTACTCTGTACACAGAATTCAGAGCCCATTCATTGGATTTACTGTCATTAAGCAGCTGTGTGGTAATCATGAAAAGCAGCATTTGATCATGAGTATTTCCATGTCATAATGAATGTGTTTTTCAAGAAGAGAAAATCTAAATAAAGCAGTTTTGTATAATAACTTCACAGTGAGACAGGTAGGAGATTTACAGACAAGGTATTTATAGACAGAAGATATTGAAAACGAACAGAACATGAAAATATTTACGGCACACTTACTTATACTTAGGGCTATTTGTCATCATTAAGATAGCTGGAATCTACCTTTGAGGGTTTGGTACACTTTAGAGGTTATTTCAGGAAAATGGTATATAGCACTAAATTTTATTCTCTTTTCCGACATATTCATTTATTTAAAAGCAACTGTTTTACCCTTGAAAAGCAGAGGGAAGTGGAAGAAATTGTTTAGTTGAGTCCAGAAAATTGTGACTTCTCCAGCCTTCTAAACTTTTGCAGGATGGCAATTGCAAAGCTAATTAGAATATGACTACTTATGCGCAGTCTTTCTGTAGTTTTAGCAAATGGAGCTTATCACATTTCTTCAACTTGTTTTAATCAAACCTCTGAGATGGGCTTTTCTCTCAGAAACTATTTAGATGGAAAATACTTCTATTTCTTTACCAACATTTGAAAAAGATGAGGGAAAAGAAAAGAAGCTCTATCTCAAAACTATTTGAAATGAAACATAGTTTCACATTTTATATATTTTTTATAACTCACTAGTTACTAATGCTTCCTTAATCACTTAATTTACCAACATTGAATTGGAAAGGCTCAATGTTACTCTTTTAGACAAGCACTAATAAATTGGTAGCTCAAGGTAACTGGTTGCGTGTATGGAAGTAGAAATAAACACCTTCATGTAATTTTTATTCATTATGCTCAATGTTATATATCATTATTTCTCATGGTGGCTTTTACAATGTAGAGTTGTTTTTGAGTTATCCTAAGTACTAAGTACTTGTAAAAAGTACTCATTAGATGAACGCTTCAAATTTACATTCCATTTGGTTTTGCAGATCTACCCTATAATGTTGGACAATAATCCTCTCCTCTTCCTTGGAAAAATAGGAAAATGTTCTACTTCACCTAGAGGACATTATGAGATTAATTTTACAGTCAGATTCTCCATGAATAGAGCAAAGTTCAAAGAGTTAAGGATGAGTATTATATTATCTTCAGAACTGTGCAGTTCCTAGAGGATAGTTGCTGGCTTGTGGAACAGATTTCTAACTTCTACTTCCTTCCAAGGCCCAATGTAAGTAATGATAGAGGCAATGGTTTGATTTCACAACTGTCCAATATCTTTGCTTTGGTTTATGGCAGAGAAAGTTTACAGGTATGTAATGTAAACACAGATCTTTGTGTAAGTGTAGAGAGTAAAAGTTTGCTAAAGATATTCTGTATGCAGATGGACCCAGATAACTAATTTTTTGAATTGCATAATAAATTACACAAGTTGAAAATCAGAGGGTCTGTGCTCATTTTTCAAAAGTTTCATTTAAAAAATTTTCTGGTTTCTTGGTTTTCTATGGACTAGTTTCACAGTGTGAGCTATGTTGATATGGTACATGAAAATACATACTCACCTAAATCTTTAAATTTGGATACTAACAAAATTTACCCAGTACCATATACAGCGACTGCATATTTAAGTTTCATCCACACATTCACTTGCTCACTCACTAACTTAAAACAAATCTCTTAAAAAGGTCTTCACTGGTATTGTGGGGAATAAAAATATGGAAAGTATTTTAATGAAATTTGAAGATTTATAAGCCAGTTGAAATAGGCTTTACATATGATATAATGAAAATAAGTGACAATACTTGAGATAATATAGTATTACTTTTTATTTCTGGGAGTTATGTCAGAGAAGGATAAAAAAGAAATTGGATGCTTTGTAATCAGAACTCTCAACTGTATAGCATAGAAATCACAAGTGATCAAAGTGATCTATTGAAGTAGCACACCGGGAACTTTCTGTGTTTTGAGTGAAAACTATTTTGAATGGCTTTGTAGATTTGTAATGGGAATTTAAGAAAAGAGAGATTAGAATATAGCATATTTAAATAAGAAATCACGTCTTTCTTTTCTTTTCTTTTTTTTTGTCGGGGGTGGGGGGTGGGTGGGTACCAGGGATCTAACTCAGGACCTTGCATATTGCCAGGCAGGCACTTGTACCATTGAGCTATATCCCCGGCCTGGAAGTTACTTCTTATACTCTTGGTTTACAGCCATATAGAAAATATTTATTAAGCATCTATAATATGCCACACATTGTGTAGGACTCTGTGAAGTT